GGGAGGGACATCGAACCAGGCCCTGAAACGGTGGGGGCGCGACAATGTGTGCAGACCGAGGCCGCGCGTGCCCCCACTGGGTCGTGATGGAGCCGCGAAGGGAACTCGGCCGCGCGGCCTAGCCCGCACGGCTCGGACTGGGCCGCAGGATCCGCGGCCCAAGGTGCCACGTAGCCTATGTGAGGTACATCTTACCTCCACCTGCGGGAGTTGTTACCTCTCTTCCGTGCGCGTATCCCCGCCGAGCTACCGGGCCACAATATGAAAGCTAAACAGTTGCAATTGCAGAGGTGGGCCAACCGAGGGCGTTTCTCGAACGATGTAGCATAGGGGGTACACGTGGTTCCATGCCTCTATCGGATCCGCACGCGAAACACTACATTGGGGGGTTGAAATTCTAAGCGCGAGTCGTCGTCGGTCGATTAGGATGCATCCAACTTTAGAACGGGTCACACCACGCTGAAAACATAAAATTAAAAACACTTTCAAACAAAACAAAACACTCGTAATCCCTTCAGTATCCGACCCATAACCTTTTGGCACTGAAAACGGTTAGGCGTCGTAAGCGAGACTCAATATCAAATCGCGCGGACGCAGGGCCTTCTCATATCGACTAGCCATGCAAGCATACGCAAGCATCGCAACAATGACGTACTATATAGTACCCATAATCGTGTGGCCCTCGGTGGTCATGAGGGTCACGTTCGACACTCAAGTGTCGGTTGACATAGGCTTTGAGGGGTTAATCTCTCGGCGTTAGACAACCGCCAAGGCGGTTGAGAACCACACCCTCTTCTGCACCCTGCAGAAAATGGGTGGTACACAGGTTCATGCATATGCTTGCAGTCAGTTTTCATGACCTTGAGGGCAAACTCCATCATTCAGGGCCTGGAGAGAAGTCGAGGGGTTTGACTTTGACGACTGCCACAGATTACAACGTCCAACTATAATAATTCTAAAAAACAAAAAACAAAAACAAAAGGGTCTCCCTTTTATCTCAAGGCATAATTTGTTTAACCCTTACGCACAGTCGCAACAGGCCGCGCAGACACTAAAAGTATATATATATATATATATATGTGGATATATATATATTTATATATAAAAGGTAATAAATATGTGACAATTATTTCTCACAATCACTTTGGGTCTCCCTTCATACATATATAAGTGATCGCAGACAATCAAATCCATAGTCGAACCACAAACATAATTGCAATCACATCCAAGATTCAACCAAGATCCACACACTACACGGTGGCAACTTCGACCATTCTCTGCGTTCACATCCCTCGCTTTAGCCATACAAACCTCAGCCTTTGTCCAACCTTCCATAATAAAATACTCAATATCTTTGTTAAATGACCATTCAATGAAGTCCAGATGAAAACCCAAGGAAACAATTCAAACCACAGGGTTGAAACGTGTAGATTGAGTTGGCGATAGTGAATTGAAGTTAAATAGTAAGCCGACAAATCGACAACCGACCTGTTATCGGTGACAACAAAAAATGATCTTTGTGGGATCAAGCTGAAACTAGTCTAATCCTGAATCGAAATGTTCAAGGAAAGCCTGTAACACCAAACAGGTCAATGCTCAAGACTAGACTATCAGTGTATGGAGAATGAATCTCTACAACACATATTCACCTAAGATTCTCCTAATAACTGAATCTGAATCTACCTTTAAGTAAGTGCCCACATAAAGGTAGACTTTGGGCAGCATCTCCTCTATGCAGGGTGGATTACAAAAATCGTCACCTGTCGAAATATAATCTAAATCATTTAAACTAAGAAAATTTTCGCAGCGCTTCCAGTAGGAAAAACATCTTTTCATAATTCATACTAGCCCGAAAACGAAAATAGAAATAATCTTTAATTCTAGAAAGTTAAATTAACATGTTATTCGTTAAAATAAGACATTATATTGTGTCCTCTTTCAAACGAATTCAGTTTTGGCTACAGCCTAAGCAATGTAGGCATGCCCATCCACTCGGCTCATATGCGAAAGTGTGCTGAGATCCATACTTGTTTATAATAATAATAAGCAAGGTGTGCCCGATATGCAGAAGCGTGCTGAGATCCATACTTGTTTATAATTGTGAGGACCAAGGCCCCTTAATTGTGTTCTTGTCGGAGAAGTTCGACAAGTGTGCTGAGATCCGCACTTCTTTAGGATTGTGATGAGCAAGGCGGCTTAATTGTATCCTTCTTGGACAAGCTTGCTTCCACTATTCCGAAGTAACGTAGGCATGTCCATCCTCTCGGCCGAAACATCTAATACGTATATGGATGTTTCGTGAGATTTCGTCTTCTTTACAATGCTTAGTATAGCGACTGGCATGCCCAGGCAATTGGCCCGCATGCAGAAGTATATTGAGATCCATACTTCTTATACTTCAAAAATTCAATGAGCAAGGCGTTACAACCGAATCGATGTTGGATAACACTTTTATGAAGCGCCTTGATTGTCTCCTTGTTGGACAAACTTGCTTCGGTTATCTTTCAGTAACACATGTATGCCTATCCTCTCGGCATGTTGGTTATATGGATTCAGTGAGATTCGTGTTCTTTACAAGGCTTAGTATATCGACATTCTTAGCCCATCTTTCCACCCCACCGTGTCCATGAAGTTGCAACTTACTGAAGAAGAAAGAACTGAAGCTGAAGACTCGAAGGCCTGATGATGTTTGACGTGTCATGCATGCAGTCGACCCCAAAAGCGCCATGTAGAAATTCACCACCTCATCGTTGAGCTTTCCATCGACAAGCAAGACGGTGAGCAGATCTTTAGCTGTGATTCTCACTTGACCACCACCGAAAGTAAATAGAACATGATGAGGTGGCACCAAGCCTCGAGATATGTCACCCATAACCGTCAAGACTCGAGGCGCAATCGCGTTATCGAAAATCCCCCCGCAGGCTCCACGTGCTCTTGCGCGAAATGCACACGCTGGGTTGTGAGAAATGGTGTTCTAAAGATTGTCCCTCATCGCTCGATGCTCTGCTAAGTATTTTTCATACATGGCCTAACCCTAGTCAAAGATTGTGAATACGTCGCCTTCTCCAGAGGCAGAAGGGAAAAACATTCATCAATGACCACAACATGGATCTTCTCCCCAATCTCGACATCAACCCCTGATGCCTTTAACGTATTTTTGTGTCATGTCGTGAACCCGGGGACTTTTTGCAATATTCGTGCCGGATATTTCGAGAAAATGGAGGACCTCTGTTTCCTTGTCGACCCTACCTCTGTAAAACAAAAAAAAGATAGACCCCGAAATGAATATACGATTCAATGAAAGTTGAAAAGTAAAACATTGACATAGCCATGCAGATGATGGCCTTTCCAACCAGTGGAGTTTGTCATCACGTGGTCGGGTTGAGCGAGGACCATGTGAGCCTTTGGACACGAAGACGATGAGCGCAGTCGAGCCTGAGACCCCTGCACAACGCGAAGCAAGAAAACATCAGGCCAAACAGTATGGAAGCCGGCAAATGACGAAGTCCGGATTCCGGCGGACTAGAAGCCACAACGAGCAGACACCGACCAACCACGTACGGTCCTGACACTGGAAGTGAGGATACTGGCGCATTAAAAAGATCGGACCTCCGGAAGGTCTGTTTTTTGTACACTGCCGGTGTCGTCACGACGAGTGTCGGCGGGAGACGGAAAGCCGGCACTTGCGCATGCGCGGATGCCGGCGGAGTATCTGAGAGTAAGCACATCACGCACCCACAATAGAAGCGCGGACAGCGGTGGACTTAAACAACCATCAGATAGAAGGGTGGTGTATCTTCTCGGCAGGGGTTGTTTGGTCAGCCGGTATCCGCACTTGTATTGCGGAATATTGACGACGTCAGTCTCTGTGTGCCGGTTGTGAATGAAAGTCCGCCGGAATCCATACTTAACCATGTGCCAGCTATCCTCCTGTCGTCGACAATGGCAGTGCGGATACTTGCGGACTACGACGACCTGTCCTGCCAACGAAAGAATAACACACTCCAGACGACGCGGACAAGGCAGGTGTGTCGTACCGAAAGGAGTGAATGTTGTAGTCCGCCGATATCTGCACTTGCTGCGTCGAGGCCAATACCGGTCTATCTGTATGTGCCCCTCAGGGCTCGAATTTTGGCGCAGCGAGAACTGCGCCAGTGTTGATAATCCTCTTCTGTGGCCGCATAGACCTCCGTCTTCGCTACCGTCCATGGGAAGGCGGAACTTGTCCTCGCGTCAACGACAGGATGGCTGACTGACATCGTTGGCACTCTAGAGACGTTAGTGTGCAGACGTAGCGAAGATCATTAACGCTTACCAGCTGGTTTCTCTCTCTGTTCCTCCATCGGCGACCGGGGCGCAGGTAAGGTGAGCACCGCGAGAGGCTGAGTGGCCACCCTGCTTTTTTTCGGGGACGTTAGATGCTGGCAGCCGGCAACCCCGCCACCCACTGCGCCATGGAAGGTGTCTGCTAGTGTGGGAGAGCAAGGCGACGGGGCCTCCAACTCGACGCCCAAGGAATGATCGGTGTGGACGCGCCCGACGGTTTTTGTAGGCGGGGACGGAGTTGATATGGCCTGTTGTTTGCGGAGTTTGCAATCAGTGACGTCGTTGACGTCCATTCGACGATTCGTTTTCGTCTGGCCCACTGCCATGGCGACCTCGTCGCACACGTCCCGGAGATGCAATGCCGGTGCCAGCGGGTGCACGTCACAGGCATCCGGGTCTGCGGAAAGGCCAATGGCCACCTGAGTCTCCATTTCCATCGTCGTCGCTTCGTCGTCGACATCACCTCCAAGTTTCCGAATGAATCAGACGACTCACCACAACCAGCATCTTCTCCACCCTCCGGCCGTTCGTCCTCCCCTTCCGCTCCTTCCCCACCTTCTTCCCATTCATTTTCTTCTTGGCCGTCCTCCACTTGTACCCATTCCTCCCCCCCATCTCTCTCACGCATATCAGCTCCTCCCACCGGCCCCGCGTTGACTCCCGTCAACAAGTCTTTTGTCCCCGCACTCATCTCATCTCCCGCCCGCCCGACGACCTTTTACTGCAAGTCCGTTCCCCAGCAAGTTCGGATACCGGCGGAGTTCAAATTGCAGAGGACAAACGGCGCCCCGCTATCCAACCGTGCATTGAACTCAGCTGGCTGCTCGTCTCTGACGGCCGACGCAGTCTCTTGCTGCGTAGAAAAGTCGTCGGACGTCGCACCGGACGAAACCGAAGTGCGGATTCCAGCGGACTTCGTTTTGGCACCCGTTTCCAACACTTCTGCTCTTGTAGCGCTGCGCAGGACGGGCTCCCCATCGTGCTCCTCATGAGGATTTGTCCAGATAGCGGCGGACTTGTACTTGACGCCGGTGATCGGAACACCCGCACTCGATCCTCTCCCGATGCCAACGAAAGCGGCAAAATCAGTCGTCGAGGGGAGTGCCGACCAATGTGTGGTGGATGCAGTGCGGCCGCCGACGGACTTCGCAGCGTCCAAAGGCGGCGGCTCCACGTTCTGAGAAGTTCGGATGTCGGCGAAGTTAGCCGATTTGCTGGCCCCGACGGTCGTCTTGTCAGCAACGTTCAACAACCCAACCCGGCCGCCGCTTTCCAATGTTCTGCCTTGGTCGTGAGTGCCAATCGATCCCCCTGACGCGGCGCCCTCTCCTATCCCCTTGCCGCTTCCCCCACCCCCTCCCCCACCTGGAGGGCCTGGAGATCCCCCTCCCGCACTCCCCTACGACCCCGTCGCAGGGGGGACGTTCCAGTCCACGCTTCCCTTCGAAGGGCTCGTGTCGAAGTCGTAAGACTCGTCCGAGAGTTCCAACCACCCCTTGCCTTGAAGCTCCAGAAACAAACGATCAGCGTGTTTAACGACGGCCGGGTCGGTGGCCTGGAAATGGGGGTTCTCTGACGCCACTTTATCCACCACACCACTGCTTGCGAGTTGCAAGTACTCAGGCTTGGGAAGGCGCGAGCATGGCTCCCACTAACCATCCGAGTCCACAACGGCCATGATCCACTCCCCTTCACGGATTGCAGGCTGGATCGTTCCCGGGTGCCAAATCATGTCGTGACCCCAGTCTACTTCACTGGAACGAGTGTGGTCGTGTCCTTCAAAGTGAATGGACTCATCCTTCCAAGAAGGATGTTCCGACGGGACTGCACTCCCTGGACGCAAGCGAGGCGGGGCAACAGTACGGGGTGTGAGTTTCGCCAACAGCTTGCTGGGGGTCTTGCCGGGGGTGGACCTGCGAACGGGCGTCGCTGGAGTGACCTGGCTTGACGATGCACCTGCCATCGAGGAGCCCAAGGTGGAAGAACAAGAGCAGGGAGGTAATTCAGGGCAATTTCCTCGATGTCGCTATCCTCCTCCGAAACATTCGAGTCGAAAACGACTCTGGTCGTTGCCTCTTCGTCCGTGTCAATCAATGCACTGTAACTCGCGACCCTGAGCTCCTGCTCTGACTCGACAAAGTACAAACACTCTAGCCGGTCTAGGAAGTTCTTCGCATTCAAACGCGGGGCGTCGTGGTAGTTGTCCAGCAACGCCAACATGTGCTCCCTGCGTCGAATATACTCATGGTCGTTGTCCCTCATTGACCGCGTCCCAAGGAAGAGGAACTCGTATATCCTATCCCTTTTCCTCTCGCTTAGCTTGGACCACATGTCCGTGGACGGCTCCCAAGCGCGTCGCGGTTTGTCGGTCCTCGAAATGAACTCGCAGCGGTGGGCTCCCGAGTTGACCTCGCCTTTCAGGAAATCCAACGTGTATTGCAGCAACTCGGAATTCCCCTCCAACGCGATGACGTTGCGACCGCCCTTCGAAGCCTCCCACACGACTTGCGCGTGCGCCTTCCTGAGAAACATGACACCCTCCCCCTTTTTGCACAAGAATTCGAGCAAATAGGCCAACTGCGCGGGGTTCCGTTCCATGTCCTTGTAAACTTTGCGGTCACGGCCAGGTATGACCAGGGGCCATTCACAAGGCTCGAACGACATCTCAAAGACGTTCGTCGGTGTGACTTTGACATGTGCCCCCACAGCAGCAGCATCACCCGCCTCCAGCCTCGCGTTGTAAACCACAGACGTGTTCTCCCGCAAGTCGTCACCTTTGAAGAGGATGTACATGCGGTCGTCCACTGAGTACAAGTTGTTGCCGACCGCGAAGCTTTTCTTCTGCTGCGGCCTCCTCACCCACTTTCCTGCCATTGCCTTGACAACGGACAGATGGCGCAGACTGGTCATGAAGTAGTGTTGTGCTCCCGGGGGACGAAAGCAACGACCGTCCAGTGCGAAGGGAACAAATGTTGTAGAAGGGCATTCAAACTCTCGAAAGCTTGCTATGTCCACTGTCTGATGTCCACAGGCTCGCACAAATCAAGAACGACAGTGTGGCATTTCTTGATCCCAACCGCTTTCTCCAACTCGACGACCTTCATCTGCGCCTCCAGAGGATCGACGCCGAAGGGGGCGATGGATGTCACATCCCCCGAGTCCTGCCACCGAATATGCACGATGCCTTCGGCGAGCGCGACATCCATGCTCTTCGACTTGCTGCCGGTCAGCACGGAAAGGACCTTGTTCTTCCAGTCGATGGGCAACTTCTTGTTTAAAACCAGTTTTTTCGTCGCCTTGATCGACTTGTTGTCCTCGCAGCCCATGAACGGGGGACAGTCTCTGAACAACGATGAGTCTCCAACGAGTTTCCTGCTTCCGTCCCACAATGCTGCATCCGGTCCCTGGCTTTTGAAGTGCACTAAAATCGCCTCTCTTTTCGGAGTCGGGCCGATTCTCATACTTGAACTGGTAGAGTTCCATAACTACACCAAGATGTGGTCGCACTTCACCAGATGCACTGCCTCTTGCATCCCCAGCTTCCCTTGCTTTGCAAACGCAGAGGAGCCGGTCTGCACCCACACCACCTCGCAATTGAGAACCTTCTTCAGCAACCGACATTTCTCATTGTCCGTGAGGGCTTCCATGCTTTTCCAGCAGTGTGGATCCGGCTCGTTGACTTGGACGAACCAATCGCCGGATTCCTTTTCTTTTTTTCCTTTCTTTTGAGGCGCTTCGACGGGGATGTTGTAGACGACCTCCTTTCGCCCGGTCTTAACATTTTCGATGTGGCTTACACCGGCCTTCACGCCCTTCACCTTGTTCTTCTTCGCGATCCACTTCGCCCCTTCGGGCGCCAGCAGCCGGCCCGTCTCCCATTTCTTGAAAAATTCCATTCCCATTTTCCACCCGCTTACCCCGACCATCGCAAGCGGGAAATAAGATCGAAGGGCAACGTTCCGCTTCCTTATGCCTTGCTCGGTCTTGTCGTCAGCGAGTGTCCACAAATGATTGTACGACGTCTTTTGAAGCGCATCTTCACAAAACCGGCGCCAAGGCTCCACCTGAGCCTGTTTCCCACTTGGGTTCCCCATAACAGCTCTGGGGTAACCCTTGTCCTTCCAGCACCACCGGATGTCCTTCATCGAAAGTTTCTGTTGTCTGGGAGGCGCCTTCAAGTCCTTCTTGTTATCCTCGACGCTGATCAGAAAATACCCTTCGAAGTTCACGTCGGAGAAGTACACCATTCGCGCAGGCCACCTCTCGAAGTTGTACCTCACCGCCACGTCTGTGCCAAGCAGCGTCCTGGCGGCGGCCGAGTTATGCTGGCCGGCAACAACGTAGTAGTAGTATTGGTCCGCCAGCTCGTCCTTCCAGTCCTCGGGCTTTAGACATTGTGCACGCACCCACGGCTTCGGTTTCTCCAGCCCCAACGGCGCCAGCTTCAGTGTGGGCAGCTCGTAAGTCTTCGAGGCCTGCGAGTAGGCCGTCATCATCGCGTCGATGATCAGTTGTGTATCCACCGGATCCAAGGAACGCTGGTTGTACCCCGCTTCCCACTCCCCGATGTCGACGACTTGCGACGGGTTAACGGGGATCTCGCGCTTTGTGCGCACGTCGTCTTTCCATTCGAGGAAATATGCCGCATCGACGTTGATCGGACCCGTCTGTTGCACAGGGCCGGACAGGGGCTGAATCTGCGCCGAGGATGGGCGTTTGTGACTCGCAGCGCCAAGATGCCCCTCCCCTCCCTTCCTTTTTCCCCCTGACGTCTGCGGGGCCTTTTTCTTCTGTTTTTTTATTGCAGCCGCCGCGTCTCCACGGGAATCTCCCCTTCTCTTTCCGATGACTGTTGTTCACCCTCTTCTCCCCCGGACAAGACGCCAGCAGGCCTCCCCCCCGACCCCATGGTGTGACCCCCGCCTGACGTCGAGGGCCGCTCATGGACCGGTGTTCTTATCTCAACCCCCGGAATGCTCAGCACCCTACGGTCTCCCCCTCTAACCGGCGAACCCGATGTCCTCTCCTCTTCTTCCTCCTCGTTGTCGTCGAAGCGACCAGGTTCCTCCCCGCGGTGGAGTTGGAATGAAGCACCGGAACCCAAATCTCCTCCCTCGGACGGAACACCGCTTGACTCGAACCCGGTGCACATCTGCACAGGCTACGACAGCGCCAGGTGGCATGAGATCTGACAGGGCTCATCAAGGTGGACGTCTTTCTTTTCCAACAAGTTGAAGAACTCCCTCGCGGAAACAAGACCTTCAGCCGCGAGTTCTCTGTAGAAAGGGGTCCTCAAGGCCCTTGCACCGAGCCCCTGGAACATATCCCACGAAAGGGCCTCCCCTTTGGAAGCAGCCACGATGCCGCCCTTCGAATTATAAACCGCGTGCAGCTTGAAATACATCTTGTCGTGACTTCTAGCCGCTTGCCATCCCTCAACCGTACCAAGCACTCTCCTATGTCTACTATCTTCCACGAATAGAACCGGACCGCACGGCGCTCTCGTGGGGTAGTTCTCATCCCCGCAGCACCAATCGATATACCATTTCGTGCGCAAATGATCGGACCACGACTTTCTGGTCGTCGATTCCCTTCCCGAGGTCCCGGTAGGCTGTTCCTCACCCCTTGACGTAGACATTCTGTCTGCACTAGCCCAAACGAAAGAAGCATCGGGAAACACGGAAAGCACAAACAATTAGCACAACCGAGAAGTTCGGATGCAGACGGACTAGCTATGACGTGGTACACAAAAAAAAAATGTTGGGGATTTGTTGGTAACACAACAGTCTCTAAGCGGTGGAGCGTTGCCGTGGAGCGGAGGGTGAAGACGCCCTCCGGACGTCATCACCTACACAGCGTCAGGAAATGTTCTGAAAAGAGAACAGCTCTACGCGCGCCCTTGTTGACCGCACGTAAGGGGCAGAACAGCGACAGTGTTCGAGTGGAGAACCCCTGTGCGACGTCCGAATACCAGCGAACTTTTGTCGACTAATAAGTGCGCTGCACGGCAAGATGCCCTGACACGTAGAAGGGTCCTTTTAGGGAGTTCTTGCCGGAACATTGTGGCCCGGCATATTCCGGAACACAAGACAAAGGCGGACCGACAACGTCGAAGAACGATCTGGCTAAGACATTGACGAAGTGCGGATGCAGACGGACTTCAGTATATGATCAGGATGTGTGGACGCATAGAAGGGTCGGTGGTGAAGTGGTCGATGGCACGTTCTTGGAGAAGTATGCCCAACATCCACAATCAGAAGACGTCGGGGCTTGAGGACCTCGCATTGAAACGGAAGGAACGACGACGTCGCGTTACAAACTAAGGAAGTTCGGATGCCGGCGAACTTCACAAATCGCCCATGACAACCGAGAGGCTCGCAAGGAGTGCGGACCACCCGGACAAGGAGCACCTACACACTCAGTGCGACTTCGTGCATCGTGACACCTCCGTTGCCGCAGTTGACCCCTTGTGGACCGCGAAACCTATCTCGAAATAGACGCAGATCCAACAAATAGGCCGACCTTCCTGACCCCAATTGTGATTCAGCATCCCGAAGGACTGTCCGAACAACAGATAACCTGAGGGATCCGGGGGGTGGTTCTGTTTGTGGAGTGCGAAACTCTGCTCGAAACAGACCCGGATCCAACAAGAAGGCCAACCAACCTGACCCCGGTTGCAATTGAGCATCCCGAAGTACTGCCCGAACAACTAACAACATGAAGGATCCGGGGGGGGGAGTTATGTGTGTGGAGTGCGAAACTGTGCTCGAGACAGACCTAGATCCAACAAGAAGGCCAGAAACCAAGGTACCACAAGAGTGCGTTTGGCAGTCCGCAAAGATTACCGCCGACTGTTTGGCACTCCTTGTAGGTGGTCGGGAAGCCGCTCGGCAGCGCGAGGCCTGTTTCGCTGAGGAGACCGAAGTTTCCGAAGTTCGGATCTCGGCGGACTTCAAGCGCCGTCCTACACAACGGGAACCGCAGCCATCGAGGCTAGCCCTCCAAACAACACACATGTGTGGCCCGAACTGTACATGACCACTAGTTCAGATGTCGGTGGACAGGCCGGAAGTGACGGATGCTCGTCAGCAGTTATCCTTTCCCGCCAACATTTGACGTCCGGCTGCCGGTTCGTCTACGTCTTTCAAGGCAGGGTAGAGCATCACGGGTTCGCCAACATCAGACACTTATGTTTTGTATGCTGAGGATGACCGAAGAAGTCCGCCCACATCTGAACTACGAAGTCTGCCCTGATCCCGCTGTGCTGCTAAACTGTTGGTAGTTGGTAGTTAAAACCGAACTAGAACGATTGCGCAAATATTGACAGTCACATATTGTCGGTGGTGTCGGCAGTTCTGGCATCAGACCCTCACGTGTTGTCGATCTGGGGCAAGCGCGGCTGTCCACCGGCACAAGAACTGTCACACTGCACCATCCACTCTCCAGTTGCAGTGCGTGGACACGGTCTAACAGCTCAACGATGGCGAAGGTCGTCATTGAAACTCGGATGCGGCGGACCACGCGAGTGACTCCCGGAAGGCGAAATTCGCCGGGATCCGAATTTCAGCAGGGCTCGATTTGGAAAGGGACGGCTTCACAGACATACGACCCGTGAGACGGTGGTTGTTGTACTGACTAAAGACCAGCGATTTTCACGACAAGCGCGCGGCATATCGTCAACTAGCAACTGCTGCCTCTCACACCTGTCATCACTACTTCACATCTGCCATTTTCGGCAGCGCACAAGCGTCTCACACTTTTCTGCTTAAACTCAAGGTCTAATTACCCGTCCAGACCCGGTGACATTCGGGGGTCCCCGGGGACGTGGTTGTGAACTGAAACCATACAAAGCATTCATTGATGATCCGTACACGCGGATCTGCGGTTTGTCGACTTATGCGCTCTCCGAAAAGACGGACATGTATTTCATCCTGACGAAAACTTTCGGTCGTGCTAAGGAATTCCCTATACAGTCCCGTATGTCAGACACTTTCTCTTCCACCTCATGCCACAAAGAAAAGTTTTGGACTTGCCCTGCGATCACGAAATCGGGTCACCCATCCACACGTTCAGGCCCTCGCGCCAGCACAAGTTTGGACCTCGTTGCGTGACACAAGCACAACTGCATCGACGAGTTTCCGATTCTTATTCGAGGTGGCGACACATAGAACCCTGCCGAAATCAGTTCCGGACATAGTCAACCGCACACAACAGTATGACACAGCTTGTGGAGAATTCCTGGGGCAACGGAGCGGGTACTGTTCCAGGAACGGTCAGTGACGAGCGCAGTCCACCAACTCTTGTTTCCGCGATCCTCCCCAAGCTTGTGGTGAAGACCTGACGTAGTGGCACTCGAGGCGGCTGAAATAGCGGCTAATGCAGGTCAGTGCTCTGCGCATACGGTTCAGGAACTTGTGGCCAAGGACAGGTCGCTCTGTGGATCGTAGTTACACCATTAAAATACCGCACGCATCTCGCACAAGGAGGAAACAGTTCCGCAAATCGAATGTGCGTCTCGGGACTGATGGTCCGTGGTGTCGAGAACATCGACTCCATTATTCGTGGTGTCGAGAAGGTCGCCTCCATTATGCACCCTACAGACCACGCGCACATACCATACGATACACACGTGACCACACCCGCACACAGACGTCAAGTCCCGAACTGAAAATTCACGAGGTTCCACATGCCTGCACGCGCTGCCCACGCACAGCGGCACAGGGTAAGCAGGCGAAGTGCGAATGCACAGCAAGGAAACACCCCGATCATTGAAGTTCGGATACCGGCGGACTTCTCTAGTCAACCAACGACGCGGGAGCGAGCACTTCGGTTGCAGAGTTTTTGTCCTGAGAAGTCCGCCCGCATCCGAACTTCACTGACCTCCCTATTCCTCATCCGAACGTCGACGACTGCCCTGCTCTGCTCCCTAGCATAAAACACGCGAAGTTGAAGTTCGGATTCAGGTGGACTTCGTCGCTAAGCACTCGCAATCGGTGCTGGACCATTGGGTAGAGAGCACGACAGTCATTGAAGTTCGGATTAGGGTGGACTTCATCAGTAAGCACCCGCAGCTGGTGCTCGAGCATTGCAAACCGAGCAGGCCAACCAATGAAGATCGGATGTGGGCGGACTTCTCCAGTGCCTCCGCTGGCAGCGCGCGAACATTGGATGAAGAGTAAGCCGAATGCGAAAGTTCGGATGCGGGCGGACTTCTTCGGTCGTCTGCCTCAGAGAAAACGTGAAGTTCGGATTCCGGTGAACTTCTTCTTCCACCCGTCTTGTGCTGGTCGTGGAGCACCCAGGTTCCATGTCGAAGTAGGTTCGTTCGATTTTGAACAAGGTTCGATGTCGAACAAAGTTTGATGTCGACCAAGGTTCGATGTCGACCAAGGTTTGTTCGATATGCAACAAGGTTCAGTGTCGAACAAGGTTCAGTGTCGAACAACGGTTCATCTTCAAAGAGATCGATGAGGATTAGGCATGGATGCGCGGTCGTGTTTTGGATGATCACTTGTTTTCGATGTCGAGTGCCGTGGTCTCCGGCGATGTGGTGGCGTGTATAT